CTCTATATGCTTACCACGGTGCCTTCCCATCGAATTCCTGTGGCTTCCTTCGTACTAGATCACCCCCATTGCTGACATTCATATCTGGGTTGTGACTTCTAACAGGACTGAAGATGTCTGCATTAGTGTTTAGCTGCGGGGTCTGGAAGGGGCTTGCCATTGTCTGAGGCTGATTAACTCGATGGTTAATGTATCCTCCTTGTCCAAAAGATAATAAATAATCCTTTAATGTATCTAATTCGCTAATTTATTAATGTTTTCCATTTGTACTTCTTGCCACTGTTGTTGACTTTCCTGTAACTGTTGGAGACTTTCTTCCCGTTTATTTTCTTTCTCTTCCATCCACTGCTGTAGTCTCTCTTCTTGTTTATTTTCTTTCTCCTCCAATAGCTGTTGTAATCTCTCTTCTTGTTTCTTTTCTTTTTCCACCAACAACTGCTGTAATATCTCTTCTTGTTTATTTTGCTGTTCGACCTGCCACTGTTGCAGGTTTTCTTGCAACTGCTGTGTCTCTCTTGTTTCTTTTCTCGTTCTTCTTGTTTCTTCTGCTGCTCTTGTATTGCTGCCATCAAATCTGCTAAGCTGTAGTTTGATTTGCCGCTTCTCGTTTCCATTTTTTTGCCCCACTATCTGACACCAATTTGTTACGTCTCTGGTCGTTAGTTAATTTCCCGTATCATTCTTTCCGATGAAACTTTATCGACACAAGTCCTTTTTTAAATAAAACTGGTTATTCTTTCTGAATACAGCTTTGCAATACACTTAATTTCCACAGTCACGCTATAATTCCCAACTAACGACTCACGTGCTTGACTCAACTGCCAATTACACACCGTTGCCGTCACTTCTTGGCGGCTTATATATACAAGATTACCGCATATCTAGTAGCCTCTCGAGACTTCAGGAAGGGGCGTGAACGTTCGAGAAGCGCATGACGTGTTACTAGGATCACGTGACCTCCGCTGTTGTAACAATATGTTTAAAAACGCATCCATTTTAGACAGTACCAAGGAAAAGAATGAAGTTACCTTGAGTGCAAGTGCTTAAGAGGAGTTACTGCACAAGGAGGTTGCGACTCTTCCTATTGGTAGAAGGCTATCGTTGCATTATGATATCATCATACACTAGCATAGTTCATATTAAGGTGGAAGTTAGCTCAAGGCTAGTGGCATGCAAATCTCATAGGCAAATGTGTAAGGATTGAACCTATTCTGTGTGAAAGTGTAAGCTGTCATCTCTGAATAGGAAATTTTCAATCCATGATGGGAAAGTCAGCCACACTGTTAAATTAAATCAAATAGCTTTCACACTAATTGTACTGGGAAGAAAACAAAGCAATTAAATTCTAAAGATATACACTTACTACTAGTTATTGTAAAAGTTTCATCTTTATTTTTAATCAACTTGATATCAAATACAGCACATTGCTCCTATTTCTTCATTTATAATACTTCTATGGTTCCATCAGAGCTTCACCTTTACATTCTTATCAAAGCTTGTAGGTAGACTACAGAGAAACAGTTAAGGAATTAAAACTTGCATCTGTGAAAAACATTATGTTATTTTGTTAACTTTCACATCATATTGTTACGTCACTGTTCGTTTGCAATACACTTAATTTCCACAGTCACTTTATTCTAAGCACACGCTATAATTCACAACGATTCACGCACTTTACTTACGGTCACTACCGCTCGCTTGACTCAATTATCTGTCTATCTGCCATTATATATCCGCTTTATTTGCCGGGCTTATATACTAAAATAGAGAACGCCTAGAAAAGATTAGAGTTGCCAGGAACAGTCATGATCCTTCTAGAAACTCCAGCGCCCATGCTTCAACATCACGTGACTTTCTCTGTCTTAACAATAGCTTCCAAAGGGTATTGTGTTTTAATGTGTAATAAAACACTGTCACCTATATTAGTAAGACTTATTGGTCCTAAAATTATTAGTTTTCTAACGGTTATTTTTAATAACTGGGATGTTATTGTTTTGAAAGTGTGATGATTCCATATTTTATTTTTAACTTGCCCAGTTTTGTGAGGTTACGTTGTCGCTGGTATTACACTAGTTTTTAAAACAGAAAAATTTACTTTAAAATATCAATGGAAGCTGTATTTTCGTATGACATTTAAGAAGCTCTGCTAGTTAAAGTGTTATGATGCTTTTAACTACATGATTTATTTTTAAAGAAATTAAGTGTTTCCTTACATACCTCGGTACTTCATACAACGTTTATTGCTGCGTTAAGCCTTGGTGAGGTATACGTTCTTCATTTCACAGGTTGACAAAACGAAGTATTCCACATTTTACTTCGTGCTGTTGCAATGTTGATGATTTACAGCATATGTTACGATATTTAGGTCATCATAGATTAGTACATGAGACTTGACTTGATTAAAACAAATCATCTGCGTGTAGGTGATACTTTTAAATTTTAATTATTCGTTGATACATGAGGGAAGAGTATAAACCGAAATTTTTTACAAGAGAGGAGTTTACCGTTTTGTTTTAGAATTTTATTAGTGTTAAAAGTATTATTACCTAGTAATGACGTAGTACGCTAGTACTAGTGAGTAGTGGTACTGGTAGTAGTACTAATAATACTAATAGTAATATATTGGTAATACGTATACTCAATAATTATAATAATAGGGGTAATACTAATATTAATACCGCTGTTGTAAAGTGTTCTATCGTTGAGCAGGTTCTTTTGAAATATTTGGTAAAAATAGTGAGAAATCCAACCCACATAATGTTAGCGAATTAATTTATTTATTCAATAATGTTTGCTAGGTTCTCTTGTAAGCCTAACTTTACAAACGTTTTAACAGAAAAAAAAATACACACCTAACTTGCAAATAAAGCTAAAGTTTTAACGTTGAAGTGCTTCCTCGTCAGTCATTGTATAACAAACATGCAGATTGACCCAGTAACATCTTACGAATTGAATGAAAGATGAACAGACTTACTGACTCTCAATGTATAATTAAATTAAATTTAAATAAAAACTAAAAACCCCATATAAGACTGAGTAATTGGCATTTTTTATATTGTACTTGTTTTCTTCTTATTACAGGAAACTTCTAGATGTTGCATCCTCATTATGGCATGACAAGCTCTCTTCAGTAAACTAACATTTCAATTTAACTATTAAAATTATAGCTTACAACAAAACCATTGATAACTCTAACACTGTTTTCTTCTAAGCTAACACTAACAAGTTTGCAGGCCTGGCTTATGAATTTAATGTTTAAAACACATATTTACAAAACTTATTTCCTAGTTGTGATTACTCAGTAGCATATCTTAGCATTTTTACCATATTTATCAAATATATTCATACCATACCTTGAATTTAAAAAAATTGACTGTGTCACAGTGTGTGTGTGTGTGCTGGTTGTTTAGTATGCAGTTGTTGAACTGAATTGCTGGTCATGTTTATCTCATAAGTTACATTGAATTATATCCTGGGTTTCATGTTACTATGGGTTGGATTGAACTGTCATGTGAGTATGTGTACCGTATTTTTCGGAATATAAGACGCATCCTTATTTTGAAGACAAAGTTTTGGGGACAAAAAAGCTACAGTCACATTTGAAAGATTTTCATTGAAAAAAAATTCAATTTGATACTTTAAAAATTAGTATATATTGTTCTAAACACAGAAGAGCTCAAAACATTAAAATAAGAAAATACCGTAAAACAAAAAAGTTTTATTGATATTTAGTTTGGTTCAAAACCTACAAAATCTTCATTGCTTTCACTGTAATTTATTTTTT